GCCCACAGAAGTTCAAGTATCCAAAAATCCTATGTCAGAGTGAGGTACAGGCAAGGTCATACACAAACAGGCAGAAGTCAGCAATATTTATCAGGGGGTTGAGCAGGGATCAGTAGTCAAAGTTCAGAGCTAAGGTCAGGGTCCAGATGACAGATGGGCGAGATAATCCGAGAGGGGCAAGGCAGGCAGAATCCGTGGACAGAAAAAGTGGCCAAAAGTCAAAAGGTTTGGTTGAAAATATTGCTGGAGTCTCTACTGGCACAAGGCTGTTGATAATCTGGCCGGGAGACAGAGCCTGAGTTTTGCTTAAAAGGAGGCGCGCACAGGTGAAGCAAGGAGACAATCAGGCAGGGCTCTGGGGAACTGGGTGAAGCTGATTACCAACAGGACAACTGGCAGAAAGGAAAAAACAAACATGACAGGCATGGCAGAACAAGGTGGAATCATTACACTTTTGGCCATTTTTCAGATAGTCCTAAACTTTTGACCAGGACTCTAAAATGACAATAAAGACTCATGAATCATGAATGTTAAATGTGAAAATATTTGTAAACATTCCCTGCACGTGTGATACTCTCCCTGCAAAAGCAAAAGTTACATCTATGTACACCAAACTGAAGAGAAACTTTACAGGATGTGAGTTGGAGATACTTCCAAGCAATACAGAGAGAGGGAGAGTGCATGTGCGTGAGTGTGTGCGTGTGTGCGCGTGTGCGTGTGTGTGCGTGCGTGCGTGTGTGTGTGTGTGCACACGCATGTGGGGGGACAGCACACACAGTCAGCGCAATTAAGTGGATTGTACTGGACTCACTAAGCAGCTATATCTTATCAAACAAACAACGGTTAATTTTATAGAGCTCTTACATCCACTTGCATGGATCTCACACACTCTACTTGGAGGAATCCTAACCCTACTGTAAGTTACCATGGTAACAGCTTTGTAAGACTGAAAATTATGAGCTGAACCATCAATAAAACACTCATGCTGCTTTACAGAGCACCGAGTGATTATAGAATTGCATCAAGCCTTTCACGGCTAATTTATTTTCTTTAAATATATTCATTTTTTATAATTTTGCCTTCCTCTTTTTGAGCCTTACCTACCAGAGCTGACGAATCTGGTTAAATGATAAAACTCACTTTGACTTAAGGTATCACTCACCTAGACCGCATTCCTCATAGCATGAATTATTTAAAGGGGACCTTCTATGACTTTTTTCTTAAGCTATAATAGTGCTTTTGTGGAAAGAAAATATGTTTATGAAGTTCTTTGCATAGTACTTCTCTCACATTAAGCAATCTCAGTATTTTTATCTTTGGTTCCTCCCAAGCAGTTTTCAACTGATGTGTGTGTAAGGTCCATTTCCTGGTTATGCAAGGCTGACATCAGTAAAAGCATTGAAATAGTCTCTGATTTGATGTGAGGGAGGCTTTTTCGAGGAGGTTCGGCCGAAGGCTCTGGCGTTCGGCAACCCGCTGTCCTAAAGAACTTGTTTGTATAACTGAAAATAAAGCCCCATGCTGTGACAGACAATTGTCTAATCTTTCGTGTCTTATTGAATCCATAAAAGGAACCCACAACAGTTTCAGTGCTTTCCAAAATGAGCCGTTTCTTAACCTCTGACTTAACAAGGGGGAGTTATAAGGTAGACCTGCCTGAAGCTCAGTGTGGCAAGTAGGTAGTTTTCGGGTAGATAGGTCATGTTATTGAGTCAGTGTGTGTGTTCACTAGTTTTGGATTGCGTTCAATTTGCTTTAAAAATGGTAAACTAATGTGTTTGTGGAGGCTGTACAAACTCCAGCGGGTCAGTGGACATCAAGTCCACAGGTTTCCAAATAAGAGATTGAACAACACCTTCGGCATCTTCCATTCCTGGAGTGTTTTGTGCAGCTTGAAACACGGTCGTTTGTGGTGCGCACTTCAGACTGGTGGATTACAATCCCAGTGATGTGATGGGAGTTCAACATGCTTCCCATCCTTCAGAGCCCCGTGGCGGAGTTTAGAAAAATACTTGTGGGCTCTTAGAGCCCAGATCAGCGTCTGAACCAGGTCAGGCAGGTCCGTGCTGAGCTCTAGAAGCAGATGTGGAGCTTTTAAAATTTCCTAGTGAGCAGGGAAGCTGGTTTCTGGGCCGGACACAGGTCCGAGCCGTCTGCCATGAATAAGATGACAGTGTCTCTCACTCTCTCTAAAGTGCTAAGCTACATTACGTTAACGAATATTAACGAGTATGAAACAGCTGACAAATGCTCATTATAGTTTACTATTGTCAGGAATCAACATTATATTAACTGACCGATAATACTTTCATTGTCTGGTACATGACAGTAATCAGTACAACATTGTGATGTTAGCACACGAGTTTAAAGAGCAAATTGCAGGTTAGAGACTCCCATGGACCAATGTTTAGAGAAACATAATAGAAACTCGGTTTAAACATTTTTTTTACATAAACATAAATTATTTAGGCTTTTAGTGTCATTTTTGTGAGAACGTTGGTTTTTTTTTTGGCCAAACCAAGTGACTAATGCGGCTCTGACACAGAGGCAACTTTAAATGTTTATAATTATACTTATGGTGGACCAAAACTATAAAGTTATGAGTTTGCTGCTCGCCCCAGAGAGCAGAGACCAACGAGAGGGAGAAACCATCGGCCAAAGCAGAGAGATTGAGGAGGAAAAGCAGCGGGGGAGCAGCAGGTGTCTGGTGAGCTAACCATGTTAGCTTGAACTCGTGTGCTAACATCAGAATATTGTACAGATTACTATCGTGTACCAGACAGATAAAATAGTATTGGTCAGTTAATATAATATTATGTTCATGTTTATGTATTTAGCAGACGCTTTTTTCCAAAGCAACTTACAAGTGATAATCGGCATGTTGCCCTTGAGGCTAACAACAACAACAACAACAAACAATTTCCAGTCAGTCCTAGGTAGCAGTGAGGCAGCATGATGAATCATGGAGAGGAGGGAACAAGGAGTGGACAGTAGAGAGGTGGACGGGTGCAGGGAGGCTCTTTTTTCTAAATCTGAACCTCTGACGTAACCAAAGGGAGTTAGAAGCTAGGCGCTGCCTCAGCTCAGTGTGGAGAGCGGCTAGTTTTAGTGTAGAGAGGTCATGTTATCCAGTCAGTGTGTGTGTTTACTAGTGTTGGATTGTGTTCATTTTGATAAACTGTAGTTAGTGAAGGCTGTACCAACTCCAGCCTGTCTGGACGAGTCCACGGTTTCCAGATAAGAGAAACAATGCTTCTATCTCCGTGCCTGAGGGCGTTTTGTGCAGCTGAAAAGACGGACTTCTGTAGTCCACATTGGTCGGTACCGGGACAGGGAGGTCCGCGCTGGACTCCAGAGATCCGTGGCGAGGTTTAAAAAATTAAATGTGGATTTCTGGAGCTCAGATCACCATCACAACCAGGTCAGAGCCGACCACCAGAAAAGAAAAGTGGGCCAGTCAAGCTGGCTTATGGGATGGAACTAGATCATAACTGCCACCTGGACCAGCAGGAGAGGATGCGCAGCTTTTAAAAATACCAACTCGACTGGCTCTCTGGTGTTTGGGTTGGATCCAGCTCACAGAAGCCCACATGAGCTCCAGAACCGAACGACGGGCATCTCTCTCAGTTCAGAGGGCCACCCGAGCGAGCTTTCTGGGTCGGAACCGGATCAGAACTGCCACGGACCTCCAGGGAAGGATCGTATGCAGCTTTTAAAAATATCAGCTCTACTGGCTCGCTGGTGTCTGGGTCGCATTCAGCTCACAGAAGCCCGCATTAGCTCCAGAACCGGATCACAGGTGTCTCTCTCTCTCGCTAAGCACTAAACTACGTTACGTGAACGGATAATGAGTATGAGACCGCTGACAGACGCTCATTAGTATTAATATTTGTTGCACAAATGTAGAATGACCTACCAAGCACTACAAGAACAGGGGTTTCCTTTTCGACTTTCAAGAAACTCCTGCATTTCAAATAGTATTTTTGGACAGCATTTTATATGAATTAAAAAAAATTGACCTGCAATTTGCTCTTTAAACAAGCTAGCTAGCATTGTTCACTCACTGAGACACCTGCTCGCTCCACAGAACCTCCTGACACCACAGCTAAATTTCTCCTTTCTCCCTCTGGCTTGTCTCTGCTCTCTGGGGCACACATCAGGTTCATACCTGTATGGTTGAGATCCACCATTAAGTATAATTATAAACATTTAAAGTTTCCTCTGTGTCGGAGCTGGCATCAAAATCCAAATTTTTCTCTGGATCAAGCTAACAGCACTCCCTCTGCCTGCATCTTGTCTGGTTTGGCAGAAAACACATTTTTCTCCATCAACTCTCAACGCCTAAATAATATATGCATGCGTTCATTTTTATTTAGAATGAGTTTTTATTATGTTTCTCTGAATATTTGCTCAAAGGAGGCTCTAACCTGCAATATGCTCTTTAAGAAAACAAAATGCAGCTGGCCACTCCAATCCCTCCCCTGATCTGGCTGCTATGAGCACAGAAGCTCCATTATTCAAGAGGAGCTCAAAGTAGAGCTGCTGCTCCTCCATCAGCTTGCTCTTGAATGTGAAAAGTGTTGTTTTTTTTTATTATTTCCCTGTTTGTGACATCACAAACAGGGACATGTTGAACCGGCTTGTTTTAGGGCCAAAATTCGTAAAACAAAAACTGACAGAAAAAAAGATTGATTTTTTTTTGGGGGGGGGGGGGTATAGAGGCAGTAGTGATCCACATGGCAGCACAAAAGGATGCAGAAGGTGAGTTTCACATAGTATGCCCCCTTTAATGGAAATAAAATCAGAATGTTAAACCCTGAACACAGTAACAATTTATGAGGTGTTTAAGTAATCTAATTACATCACAAATTCCCATCTGTTTCTTATCTATTCCCTTTTTGAACGACACACATAGTCAACACATTTACATTACAAGTATTATTATCAATAATTTACTAACCTAACAGCCTGACACACTTGTAGGGAGAATTAAAACTCACCTTGATAGGCTTCCCGTCAGGCGTCAGCACCTCTTCAGACAGTTCCATCATCTTCAGAGCCATGTGGGCGATTGGTTTTGCGTGACTGTCAACCTTCTTGTGCAGCCCTCCAGCCACGCAGTAGGCATCACCTATTGTTTCAATCTGCATGAGAAAATAACAAGGCCAGAATCAAGAAATAACATAGTGATTAGGTGTGGTGAAGTAAACTATTTGAGCCTGAGCAGAGAACCAGTGAAAAACAATTGGTTTTCCTCTAATCCCCAACATCGGTTTGCTCAGTGTCTACCTCACATTTAACCTTAAATTTTCTTCTGAACTCACAAATGTGATAGCTCAAATTCTTATTACAATAGAAGTTAAAAAAATAGTTTTTCTTTTTATCTGCTTGAAAGGATCAATAAAAATGGGCTAATAAATAATTTCAGTTGATTTCTGTGACAGATTTACCTTTTAAGCAAATGTTTCTGTTGAGTGACTAAGTTAGTGAAAATGGTTATTGGTCGATTTTTAAAAACACAAACACATTTGTGTTATAAAAGGTTACTGCCACAGGATTTTAAGGTTGCTGTAATCAAACCTTCACTTAAGAAGCCTTCTCTGGATCCAGATGACCCAATGAATTAAAAACCAATATCTAACCTTCCATTTTTATCCAAAGTCCTGGAGAAAATAGTGGCCATCCAAGTATGTGAGTATTTAAACACTAATGATCTGTTTGTTTCAGTCTGGTTTTAGAGAGTATCACAGCACTGAAACTGTTAGTGAGAGTTACAAATGATATTCTCATGGCCTCAGATGAGAATCTTGTGTCTGTTCTAGTCTTGTTAGATCTCAGTGCTGCTTTTGACACAGTTGATCACAATGTTCTTTTAGAAAGACTTGAACATGTTGTAAGGATCAAAGGAACAGCGTTAGGCTGGTTTAAATCCTACCTGTCTGATAGATATCATTTTGTAAATGTACATGACAAATCTTCATACTCCAAGGTTATTTGTGGAATACCGCAGGGTTCAGTGCTTGGACCGATTCTTTTTACTATATATATGCTCCCAACTGGTAAATTCATTGTCACGTTATGGGGATGGTTAGGACCCAAAAATGCAGATACCCAGGATGACACGAGGCAGGAGTTGATATAAGAATAAATCCTTTTAATTGTAGGATGAAACAAAAATAACTCCGAAGGCAGGGAGCCAAAAATCCAAAACCAGAAGAACAAAAGCTCACCTAGAGCACAAAAACTAGGACGAGACACAAAGCTCACACAGAGCATCAGAAAACGCTGACATACAAACAATGGCCCGACAAGACAGGGCTTAAATACACTGGGGCATAATGGGAGGCAGAAGAGCTGCAGGTGTGTGGGTTAGAGGACCAGGTGAAAGCAATACTTAATCAGGGAGGGAACTCACATGATCTAAGAATAAACCTAAAAACAAGAAAAGCAACCACATAACTAATATTCTAAAGGGAGGGAGAACTACAAAGACCAGTGGGACAAAACATACTAAAGAGACTAATAAAATGAAAAGCTGAAACTATAAACACTGCAGAGGGGTGACTGGAGAAGACTAAAGGAACACAGGACCTGAGAGATATATCTGGAAGGCTGAAGACCAGGGGATGAAGGAGAAACACAAAGAGACAGACAGACCATGACATTCATTAGACAGTATGGGATAAACTTCCACTTTTATGCTGATGATATGCAGTTATATCTATCCATTAACCCTGATTAACCTAATCAGTTAGATTACAGGCTTGTCTTGAAGACACAAAAAACTGGATGACTCTAAACTTTTTGCTTTTAAATCAAGACAAGATTGAAGTTCTCATCTTTGGACCTGAAATTCAGAAAAGGAAATTGCTTAGTCAATCACATGGCCTGAATGGCATTAAATTAGTCTCCGAGAACAATGTAAGGAACCTTGGTGTTATCTTCGACCAGGACATGTCATTCAAATCCCACGTTAAACAGGTTTGTAGGATTTCCATTTTCCACCTTCGGAATATTGCTAAGATTAGAAGCATCCTTTCCAGGAGTGATGCTGAAAAACTAGTTCATGCATTTATTACGTCAAAACTGGATTACTGTAATTCATTACGCTCAGGAAGTCCACAGAATGTAGTTAAAAGTCTTCACCTTGTCTAAAATGCTGCAGCTACAGTTCTGATGAGAATTAAAAAGAGAGATCATATCTCTCCTGTCTTAGCTTCCCTACATCAGCTGCCTGATAAATTTAGAATAGATTTTAAGATCCTCCTTCTCACATATAAAGCTCATAACCATCAAGCTCTATCATGCGTCAGTGACCTGATTGTTCCATACGTTTTTAACCGAGCACTTTGCTCTCAGACTGCAGGTTTACTGGTGGTTCCCAGAATATCTAAAAATAGGATGGGAGGCAGATCTTTTAGTTAAAAGGCTCCTCTCTTGTGGAACCAACTCCCAGTTTTAGTCCGTGAGGCAGAGACTTTGTCTACTTTTAAGACTAGGCTTAAAACATTTTCATTTGATAGGGCCTATGGTTAAAATCTGATGTTAGCCTAAATCTGGACAAGTGGGGGAGTAGAGGGAGATGGAGTGTGCAGTCGGTTAAGACGGCTCTCCCTTGCCCTGCCTCCAACATGCCGCCATCTAAAAGGCTAGGTTATCCAGAGTTATCTCTGTAGTTATGCTGCTATAGGCTTAGACTGCTGGAGGACACACTGACCATTTTCCACATTCTACTACTTTCTTCTACAATCTGCTCTTTAACTGCATTATTTCCTGCAATTTCAGCTGTTAACTTTATTTTTTCTCTGTGTTTTTCTCCCAAGAACAAGCTACAATGATGCTCTGCTGAGCTGTGGTAGTCTCATGGAGGGGGGCCATCGTCCTAAACACTGTTGCTAACCATTTAATCATTCTCCCTCTCCTGATAATAACACTTTGCTTTCCTTGATGCTACTACTAGTTTACCCATTTAATTATAGATTCACTAGGATAAATACAATAAAGTTTATCCCTCACCAAATAGAATATTTGCTAAGAAATCACAATGTAACCATAGAAACCTTACTTGGTGTGTGTGTGTGTGTGTGTGTGTGTGTGTGTGTGTGTGTGTGTGTGTGTGTGTGTGTGTGTGTGTGTGTGTGTGTGTGTGAGTGTGTGTGTGTGTGTGTGTGTGTGTGTGTGTGTGTGTGTGTGTGTGTGTGTGTGTGTGTGTGTGTGTGTGTGTGTGTGTGTGTGTGTGTGTGTGTGTGTGCTCTGTCTTCTCGATCCCCAGTGAGTCATGGAGGATGGCTGCTTATACTGAGCCAGGATTCTCTGGAGGTTTCTTCCTGTTAAAAGGGAGGTTTCCTCTCCACTGTCGCTGCATACTTGCTTAGTATGAGGATTGCTGTAAAGTCACTGACACTAGGCAGTGACTCGATGCAATTTGCTGGATTCCTTATATAGCAAACTTTTTTCTGATTGGCTTAATAAATTGATCTGTATTGGAATGTTCATGGGCTGCGCATTGGCGCAGTGGTTAGAGCTGTTGCCTTGCAGCGAGAGGGTCCTGGGTTCGCTTCCCAGCCTGGGATCTTTCTGCATGGAGTTTGCATGTTCTCCCTGTGCATGCGTGGGTTCTCTCTGGGTGCTTCAGCTTCCTCCAGTCCAAAAACATGACTGTTAGGTCTGTTTAAAATTGTCCTTAGGTATGAGTGTGTGTGTGTGCATGATTGTTTGTCCTGTGTGTCTCTGTGTTGCCGTGTGATGGACTGGCTCTCTGTCCAGGGTGTTCCCCGCCTGACTGCCCATTGACCGCTGGAGATAGGCACCAGCCCCCCACCCCACCTCCCCCCGCGCGCGGGACCCCACATGGACAAGCGGGCTCAGAAGATGGATGGATGGATGGATGGAATGTTTATTATGTGAAGTGCCTTGAGACGACTCTTGTCGTGATTTGGCGCTATTTAAATAAACTTGAATTGAATTGAACTGAATAGATATAGAGTGACTAAAATACTCAACCACTTGTTTAATTTTTTTATTTTACTTCCCTGTTTTCATTTTAATAAAGCTGCTACTTTTATCATCTAAATTTAAAGGGAGACTACGCAACTTTGGCTTTCTTTTAGCACCCACTAGTGTTTTGTTGTAGCTATTTTGAAGAACTGAAAGCAAAACTAATCTCCTTGCTGTGCATTCATCTTTTTAACACCTTAATTTGAAAGCTGAAATGTCTCCTCAGTCTTCATTAGTTTCTACAGGAGTGATTCATCACTTCATTAAACAAATCAGCTGTGTTCATGATCTAAAACAAGCAGGAAACGTGCTGAAATCAGACTGCAGGTATGTAAACTCAAATTTCTTCTAAGTCCAACAGACCGCACTGGCACTTTGAAGTTGCAAGTGCGGCATTCTGGCCACAGAGGGCGGTGGGGGTCTGAGTGACATTTCATTAACCCTGTAAAGGGTAATTGTAGCACATTCCAGCTCAAGAAAATGATTGAAAAATATGTTGTAAAGTTTCTCTTTAACCCTCTCAGGCTCAAAATAAGTTTTGATAAAAGGACGAACAACTGAGTTTAAAAAAAATGCTCATGAAATACGTATGTGGAGTAACCAGATAGGTAGGTTTTAACTGTTGCAAATCTGCAACACCTGTCTCCAGAGGGTTAAAGAAATGAATATGAGCCAGTAGTAGATCTAGTAAAAAAGGTAAATGAAAAACAGTTCAATGCTGATAAAAACGATAAGTTTGATCGATGTGTGAATAAATCTGCAGATGAAAAGATCAGCATGGAGGGCAGACAGTGCCTTCTTTTAAAAAGCTGAGAGGGAAAAAAGACTTACAATAAAATAAAAACTGGGAGAATGAACTGCTCCTATTAAGGCTTTCTAAATCATTTTGACGGTAACCATGACGATGGAGACGTATGGGTGATTCAGTCTCCTCCCCTCCCCTCCTGTTACTGCTTTCTGTTTAACACACCAACCTCCTCCGTTGTGACACTCCCAATCCCTCTGAATCACGGATGTTCTTTCCTTTCCTCTCTTTTCCTTCTCCACATACATCTGATGTGTGTCATCTCTGACAGCCAGCACAGAGATGACACATTTTGATAAAACAAAAGGTTATTGGATAATCAAAACAGAACCAAAACAGACAGATTTGTCTATGGATAGAGTGAACTACAGCAGTGACTGCAATAAAGGCCTGAAGCCACAGGTCAGATGGACAATATTGACACATCTTTGTTAAACCCTCACAGACTGGCTATTAATCAGTTACTTTTTCCACAACTAAAGCGTGCCTCCATGCAACAGTATAGGTCAAGCACACACAGACAGCCACACACTCAACATGAAAGTCCAAATAGGAATATATCTAAACTTCCTGCAGCACTGGCACTTTATTAAAACAGCTATTCCAACCTCAGAATGGGCATTTGATAGGCATTAGGCAGATCAAACACATTCTCCTTCCTCACACGAGTGACAAAGCTGCACACCAACCTTGTAAACATCCAGGATGCCACACTGGTAGTCAAAGCGTGTGTAGAGCTCGTTCAGCATGGAGATGACCTGCATGGGAGTGCACTGGGCACACACGGCGGTGAAACCCACAATGTCAGAGAAAAGCATGGTGACGTCATCAAATTTACGTGCAGGCACTGGCTGACCCTGCCACAGTTTCTGCGCCACATCACCCGGAAATATTGAATACAGGAGATCCACAGTTCGCCTCTTTTCCTCCTCCAGAGCCTGGTGGGTTCGCTCCAGCGTGGCCTGTGTGAAACAACAGGGAGATTACAGTGTTTGTATTGTTTTTGCATGTGTCTCTGTTAGCATAATATCTCATGGATCATAGGATTTTACAGACTTTCTGCTCAAATTCGACGAGGCAGTAGCTTAGAGTCATTCACAGCACATACTGGGTACCAACAGATAGTGACTTTGTTTTGCATGGCGCTCTTTAGTTAGCTTTTAGAAGTTTGGTGTGCATGACACAGTGCTACTGTTCAACCAAGTGGACTGTGATGAAGTTATTTATAACAGTGGCCTAGAGGAGAGGCTGCAGAGAACGTCGGATGCCATGTAGAGATGAATGAGATCGGATCAAAACCCAACGAGCTGAGGGCAGTTTTGAAAACAAAAGAGAAACTCCCAGGAGCCCCATTTCCCAGCCATTATGGATTTATAGAGTCAACAGCGAAGCGGATGCATTGGATTTTCAGTGTTTGCTTCACTGACTTGTTCTGCACATTATGGACAACTAAAATGAAGACCAGTGGAACATTTAAAATTCTGCTCATGGTCATCATTTGTCATTTTGATGTTGTTCCCTAAATCTCTGATGATAGGTCTCACGCTAGAAGAACCAGTCAAGGCTTTAAGATGAGGCACTGGGCTTCAGCTAAACTCTATATGATGATGCTGCAATGGACACTGAGTGATGGCCATCATCATCATCACAAAACAATGTATCCAACCATCCATTTTCAGCCGCTTATCCAGGGTCAGGTGGTGAGGGCAGCAGCTTAAGCAGAGAAGCCCAGACTTCTCTCTCTCCAGCTGCTCAGGGGCAATCCCAAGGTGTTCTCTGGCCAACAGAGAGACAGCTCCTCCTTGTCCTGGGTCTTCCTTTGGGTCTCCTCCCGGTTTGACAATCTCGGAAAACCTCACCAGGGAGGCATCCACGAGGCATCCTAACCAAATGCCCGTGCCACCTCCACCTCAAAACAGTGTATAGTAAAATAAATGTCTGAAAATCTTTGGCTGCTGGTTTTAAATATGTGGTCTGTGGTCATAAGACACAACGTTCAATTTCTAAGAAATTAATTGGATTAAATGTAAATAATCAAATGTATTTATTAAACTACAAATGCATAAAAGAGAAAATAGGGTATGCCTCAGCTTAGCACTTTGTGTCTTTGATATTTTTATTTTGAAAAACAAAATAGCCACGTATGGTAAACCGTGGCACCATATCAGGGTAATACTGCTGCCACGGTGTGTCATTTGAATTAGTGGGATATTGAGAGAATAGTGCAGCATTTGTGCCATCAAGCTAAAATGACTGCAATGGGAGAGTTTTGGATAAATATCACACTTTAATACAAAGGATGGTGATGTCATGAGCACGTGTGGAATGTCCGCCCAGCCCCAAACGGCAACAATATTAAAAATGCACAAAAACACGGGGAGTCCATTTTGCATTTGTAACCAGAATCAGCTGAAGTGGTGCAGAGATCCAGCAGCTTTTGGCCATTAGAGCTGCAGCGCAGATCCAAAGAGAGTTCACGGGGATTGTGAAGGACAGCCACCTTTTGGAGTGGCTCGCAAAAAAACCTAATGAGCTTGGCTTCAGTTGGGATGAAAGTCAAGTTACGTCTAAGCTAAGAGGAAGTCCGGACAGCGAAGAGACCAGCCCCATATACTCTTTTATACCACCATCACAAAATATTTTGTGAAAAACATGATCATGCCACATTACTGCAACAAACTGACCACTCATGAACGACCAAAGGCTCCCTGAAGCCGCCTCAGCTTTGTGGCAAAGTTGTTTTTTTAAAAACAGGCTAATTTCTTCTGAAAATGTTGGAACGGGGCAGCAAACCTTCAAATGTGCAATACATTATAAACAATGAAAATATCATATTGCAGGAAGCAGCACAGAAACATTTATTTTATTTTTACTTCTGTATTTGTGTTCATTGAGTGCAGGTTATCATAAACAGACTCAGTGTTTTACCTTAAGCTTGTCCATTCTTTTCTTCAGGCCATCCTGGGCCTTGGCCTGCTCTCCTACAAGGATAACATCTCGTGTCGCATCATGGATGGGGATATCTGACAGATGGAGACCCCTACCCATCAGCTCCTCCAACTTATCGACCCGTGGAGAGCCCAGAAACATCAAGGAGCACGACTCGGGCACATGGATCATCTGACCCTTCAGCTCCATCACCTGACAGAAGGAAGACAACAGAATAGAGACAAGGTGGTTCAGAGAAGCCAACTCAGAAAATATGTAGCTGTAATGTATGGAAGGTGGAGAAAGTTATTATTGGGCTCTCATTAAAACAAATCTCCAAGAGGAAAATGGTAACATGGAAAAAGATTTAGTTTTTACTTGAATGTTTTTAGTGTTTTTTATTAAAAAGAAACAAAAACAAAGCAGGATGACAATAAGCAAAAGGTCAAGACTGCTCAAGATATCTGATCAATTTCATGATAATATATTATTGTCTATTTTTCTCACTGAAGATTAAAACTATGGAGGCCTAATTCTGCCAAAAGTGGCAATTAAATAAAAGAGGAAATAAATTATTTAATTAATAAATATATGTTGCAATAGTTTATTTCCAGATATATTTAGCAATAATTTTATCTGATTTATTTCTCCCTTAAAGGTAAAATAGTGAGTTGGTCGTTTCTACCGCTGGCCTTAACCATGATTGGTCATGGTCGGAATCAGTGTCAACCAATCAGCTCCCGAGAAACTCACTCAAACTTTCTGGCTTGAAGTCCGAAACTTCTAGCCTGGCAAGCCAGACTAAATAAATGTATTATTTAGTCTGGCCATGCTCCATTGACGGCTCTCGATTGTGGGGCGGGTTCTACCGTTGTCTTTCAAATGATCTCCGCATGCTACTGGACAATGAATGTGACATACTCTTGTTTCACTCTGTTGCATCATCCCACCCACCAGGCATGTAGAGTGCCCTGATTGGCCCACAAAGCGGATAAAGCTCTGTGATTTGTTCACTAAGCAGATAGAGCACTATGATTGGCCCACCATTATGGGCCAATCACAGCTCTTTATGTGTTTGAAACCCCTCTAGAGAGCTGTGATTGGCTAGCCAGAGTCCTGGTAGGAGCTGCTGAGGTTCCAATGGAGCATGCCTAGACCATTCTTTGCAAAGCAAGAATTTGGTCTAGTTCACTAGGCTACGAAACTTCTGGAGTTCATGCTGCTTTCTTTGGCTTAACCCTCCCACTGTCCTAATGGGCGTGACCCCGTGAGGAAAGTTGACCATTGAGCAGGGTTGATGGTTTATCCCTTGAGGTCCACATGGCAGGGGTGAGGCGGTGCTCACTCCTCACCCCTGCCACATGGTCCCAAGGGATAAACCATCAACCCTGCTCAATGGTCAACTTTCCTCACGGGGTCACGCCCATTAGGACAGTGGGAAGGTTAAGGGAACATGCTCTGGAGACCTAACAGAGAACCTAAAGCTCTGGAGGTAAATGAGGGACAAAGCTGCCAGATTTGGTACATCATTTCGAGCTAATCTCATGTAACAAACCAGATTGCAGGTGTTTTAAATAATTAGGCCCGAGCAGCGAAAGCGCTGCGAAGGCCTCTTGTTTTTGCTCTGATTATTAGGCCCGAGCAGCGAAAGCGCTGCGAAGGCCTCTTGTTTTTGCTCTGATTATTATTATTTTTTGTTATTCCGTGCCCCCTTTGAACAGCTTTTTGGGGACCTTAACATACCCCAAAACTCACAATATTTTGCACACTTGTCAGGCCTGGTGAAAAATTTGATATTTTAAAGGTCCCAAAAAAATCGCAAAGAAAATGGCTGAACAGCGCCCCCTACAAAGTGAAAAAAAACCCTCTCCATAAAGCTTAGTTTATCGTACAGTTATGAAATTTGGTACACTTGTAGTACTCAACAGTCCGCACAGAAAAGTCTCTTGCAACCATGGTCAATATCAAACAGGAAGTCGGCCATTTTGGGTTGAAATGGCAATTTTTTGCCGTTTTTGCCGTTTTTAGGGTCCGTCTCTGATTGGATTGCTCGATCATTTTTCGCACGATCGTCTCAAAAATTGTGTAAAATTGCTCAGAAGGGATGGGCGAACAAAATGAGATAAGGATTCTGAGTTTTCGTATATGTTGAAGGGGCGGAGCCAGGCCTCAAAGTTTGACTACTCGCCAAAAAAATTTAAACTGCTATAACTTCATAATTGAATGGAATAGAGTTACCAAACTTTCTGTGGTCATTTGTCATCGACCCACAAAGTAAATTGAATGGTCGGTTGATGACATCACACAAGCCCCGCCCCCTCAGGACCAAAAAGGTCAAGTTTTACTGTGAAAGATCCCAAATTGCCCCATTTCACTTAATCACCACAAATTTGGAGCTGGTAATTCAAGGCAAGTGGGGGTTGCTTGGCGTCACTTTATGGGAGTTTTCGGCAGAGGGCGGGGCTGTGGCGGCGCGGCGAAGTAAGGCGTACCGCCGTGGCCTTACGTTTGCCTCCCATTTCTTTATTTCTAAAGATGTCGTCACGAAACTTCTTGTGAGTGATCCTAGTCTGGCCCCCCAAAAAATCTGACGTGAACATCCGGTGGGCGTGGTCAATTTTCTGAAATAGCGCCCCCTAGGACCATTAAAACTGTGAGCCCCAAGCCATGCTTTGACTGAGGATTACGAAATTTGGTACACTAATGTGGTGTCTCAGGACCTACAAAAAAGTCTCTTGGAGCCAAGTGCAAAGTCGCACAGGAAGTCGGCCATTTTGGTCCAAGTGCGCGATTTAGTGGTTTTCACACACGTTGTTTGGAGAGTGATACTCCGTCGCCCTTTTCACCAATCACTTTCAAACTTCTGCTATATAGTCTTAAGACATAGAGGAAAAAATTCAACCGTCGGATTTTAAATAAGTATAAAGGTGTGGGCGTGGCTAAGCCTCAAACTTTGACCTTTCGCCACGCCACTCTTTTTTTCACAGCTCCTTATTGGACTCCTTTTACCCAATCACCAGGAATCTCTGGTAAATAGCAGCAGGCAAGTTGAGGTCACTTGGTCTCCAGTACTGGAAGGTTTTGAAAAAAGGCGGGGCTTTGGGAGCATGGCGAAATTCGCCATCACGCCATGGATATACGTTTGCCTCTCATTTCTTCATTTATCGTGATATCACCTCGACCATTGTTGTGAGTGATCCTAGTCTGACCCCCAATAGAAAAGGTCAGCTTAAGTTTGTGGGCGTGGCCTATTTTCTGTATTAGCGCCCCCTAGGACCATTAAAACTGTCAGCCCCAAGCCATGCTTTGACTGAGGATTACGAAATTTGGTACAATAATGTGGTGTCTCAGGACCTACAAAAAAGTCTCTTGGAGCCAAGTGCAAAGTCGCACAGGAAGTCGGCCATTTTGGTCCAAGTGCGCGATTTAGTGGTTTTCACACACGTTGTTTGGAGAGTGATGCTCCGTCGCCCTTTTCACCAATCGCCTTCGAGCTTCTGCTATATACTCTTAAGACATAGAGGAAAAAATTCAACCGTCGGATTTTAAATAAGTATAAAGGTGTGGGTGTGGCTAAGCCTCAAACTTTGACCTTTCGCCACGCCACTCTTTTTTTCACAGCTCCCTATTGGACTCCTTTTACCCAATCACCTGGAATCTCTGGTAAATAGCAGCTGACAAGTTGAGGTCACTTGGTCTACAGTACTGGCAGGTTTTGAAAAAAGGCGAGGCTTTGGGAGCATGGCGAAATTCGCCATCACGTCATGGCAATACGTTTGCCTCTCATTTCTTCAATTATCGTGACATCGCCACAAAATGTCTGGTGAGTGATCCTAGTCTAACCCCCAATAGAAATGGGCATCTGAGATTTGTGGGCGTGGCCTATATTCTGAAATAGCGCCCCCTAGGACCATTAAAACTGTCAGCCCCAAGACAAGGTTTGACTGAGGATTACGAAAATTGGTACACTCATGTAGGGTCTCTGGCCCTACAAAAAAAGTCTCTTGGAGCCAAGCGCAATTTCGCACAGGAGGTCGGCCATTTTGGTCCAAGTACTCGATTTAGTGGTTTTCGCACACGTTGTTTGGACATTGATGGCCCGTTGCCCTTTACACCGATCACCTTCAAACTTATGCTATGTACTTTTAAGTCAAAGGGGAAAAAATTCAACCGTCGGATTTTAAATAAGTATAAAGGTGTGGGCGTGGCTAAGCCTCAAACTTTGACCTTTCGCCATGACATTACTTGACTTAATAACTCCCATGTGCATGATCAGATCTAATTCAAACTTTGTCTGTGTAATTACTGACCACATCTCAAGATAACGACAATGTGGACAGCTGACATCACCTAAGCCCCGCCCCCTGACAACAGGAAGTCTATTGTTTTATGGTGAAATGCCTATATTTGTCCCCTCTAATTTAATGAAAATGACACTCAGGTCATACAGTGTCTTCATGATGTTTTAAAGACCATTCAGATCTGATAGCTTTCCAGAAAGGGAGGGGCTTTGATGCCATGGTGAATGCTGGCGTGACGCCATGACCTTACATTTGACTGTAACTTCCACAAACGGCCTCCGATTTGCCCGAAACTGAATATGGCAATGAACAATCATGCCCTTTAGCCAATGAGGCACAAACGGTTGGTGAATGTTATATAATGTCACCAAAGCTGACCTCAATGGGACTTTTCTGTAGTTGGTCACAGCGCCACCTAGATAACGTTATCCTTCGATAAATTTAAAAAACATGGTCAGAATAGCATTAAAGTTGGTCACTGTCATCACACCACCAGTGTGGTAAAGATAGAGGATTCCCTAGTGGTGAGACATAAAATATAATGGTGGGCTCAAAGGGGATGCTGAGTCAGGGTGAGTTGCGGACAAGGTGGCCGTTAGCAGTTTCTGGTGTTGGGGTGGTCGACGTTTTTGTTCTGCGGACGTGCCCTGGTGCCCCGGGCTGCCGGCCAGGCCGGAGCGGCGCGGAGCTGCGAGGGCCGAACGACGCTGCTTGCAGCTTTAATTAGGCCCGAGCAGCGAAGCGCTGCGAAGGCCTATTGTATCTGCTCCGTTTATTTTTCTTTCTTTTTTTTTCTTTTTTTTTCTTCCGCGTCTTTGGACGGCCTTTAGGGGGTCTTAGCATATCCAAAAAGTCACCAAATTCTGGCCCAATATAGAAAGTGCGTGAAATTTACGTATTTCACTGGCAACG